CATACCATTACAAATGTTATCTTTTTTTTTTTTTAAAGACTTTATTTACTTATTTGAGAGAGGGAGACAGATAGAGACAGAGACAGCGAGAAAGGGCACAAGCAGGGAGGAGAGGGAGAAGCAGGCTCCTGCTGAGCAGGGAGCCCGATGTGGGGCTGGATCCCTGGACTCTGAGATCATGACCGGAGCTGAAGGCAGACGCTCAACCAACTGAGCCATCCAGGTGTACCCGCCACCCGCCCCCCACCCCCGGCCTTTTTAAAATAAGCTCTGGAGCCAGTGGGCTAGCTTGGGTTGATCCTTCTCATGCTAAATGTTAGAAAAAAACTGCAGTAGGCAATCCCACTTCAGAACTTTGCTGGCAGCACATTTGCTAATATCCCAAATATTATTTCCAAATATGACTCAATCCAGTCAACAGTAACTTTGCCCATGATGGGAGGACCCTGTAAAGTCACGTGGCAAAGGGTGTGGTACAGGAGGAGTGAGAAAGTAAGGCTATTAATGCAATCTATCACATGTCTTTATCAGAATAAGAGCAATCCCAGGGGCACCAGGGTGGCTCAGTCTGGTAAGCGTGGAACTCTTGGTCTCAGCTTGGGTCTTGATCTCAGGGTCCTGAGTTCCGCCTGTGTTGGGCTCCATGCATGGAGCCCACTTAAAAAAAAAAAAAAAAAAAGAATAATACCTTCCATTTCTAGTTTAAGGTTTTTTTTAAATCATCAGTGAATATCACAAATACTTTATTCATCTGTTGAAGTGATCATATTTTTCTTCTTTGTACTATTTATATGGCAAATTATACTGATTGACTTTAGGTTATTGAATTAACCTTGCTGTGGCAGGCAGTCTCTAGGATGACCTGTCATCTCCACCTCCTGGTATTCATGCCCTTATTTAATATCCTCCGATTGAGTATGGGCTGGACCTAGGGACTAGAACGGAAAATGAATAGAAAACAGCAATAATTAAATGATGGGAACTCATTTTTGAAATTACATTACCAAGACTTTCACTTTGATCTCTGTCTCTCTGCCTCTTTTTCTGTCTCTCTGTCTCTCTCAGCCCTTGCTCTGGGGAAAGCAAGCTGCCATGTTGTGACTACCACCATAGAGAGGCCCATTTAGCAAGGAACTGTCTGTAGCTAACTGTGAGTGAGGACCTGAGTCCTGACCACAGTCACATGAGTGAGCTTGGAAGTGGATCCTTCCCTAGTCAAGCCTTGAGGATTAAATGTGCTTATAAATGGAGGTAAAACACGTAGAACAATTTTGGCACCTAGTAAAAGCTTAATACAATTTACCAATATTATTACCGAGCTCATCTTTCCATATCTGTTAAATGGGGGCAATAAGATCTACTTCATAGGACTGTTGTAAGTATTAAATGAAATAATGTATTGGTAAGCACTAAGGAATAGTCACTATTGTTATCCTAACAGTTTAACTGCTGGGGTTTTTTTGTTTTTAGATTTTATTTTTAAGTCCTCTCCACACCCAGTGTGGGGCTCCAACCCACAACCCCGAGATCAAGAGTCGCATGCGCCACTGACTGAGCCAGCCAGGTGCCCCAACTGCTGTTTTTTTAAAATAGGATTTGAATTTTATTCACCTTTGGATCCCCTAATACAACAGAATATATGCTTAATTAATACTTTGAAATTAATTGACGAATTCAATGTGTCTTCATATACATAAAGCAAAAAAAACCCCACAAGCTTCATAGACTTAGATGAATCATTTAAGTTTTGTGTCTTAATCTACTAAGTGATGGCACTAGACTTACTCTCTGGGGTCTTCAAGCTTCATTCATTCATTCATTCACTTGTGCATTCGTTTAATAAATATTTACTGGATCCCAACCACATGTCATTCTCTGTGCTTGGTGCTGGGATTCAGTTATGAGCAAAACAAATGTGGCTTGTCCTCTCATAAAGTTTACAGTCTAATGGCAGGAAGATGTAAAATAAATAATCACACATAAATCTACAATTAAAAACTGTGATACCATCCATGAAAGAAAGGTTCAGGGAGGCATGAGAGAAGTTAGAGTGGGAACCGGGCCAAATCTGGGGTAACAGGAAGTTTATAAACATCATAATCTATGAATTCTGAGCGTGGTCAAAGGACTTTTGCCCTCTAGCTGTCAGAAAGAATAAAGCGAGTGATTCTAGCACCAGCAGAATCTCAAAAACTACTCTGCTTGGCCCCACTGTGCTCACTAAGAGGCCTTGGCTTGTGTTTGCAGCCATTTATGGCTGGGCAGGGCCAAGCACTTGGGAACCTGGGGAGAAGAGAAGAGAGACCATCTGAACAAAATTCATCTTACGTTTTAATGTCTGCATGGGAACCACACAAAGAAAGTGTCGTAAGTCTCTGGAAGTGACTGGTGTGATACTGTTAACGTCAGATCAGAGGAGGCTGCCAAGAGCTTGGCTTTTTTCCCCCCTTGTGGCAGCCAAAAAGCACAGGTGTCTTAAGAAAGTGCTGAATGATCGGGCAGCTTATTCACGCGGAAGCCTCAGCCCGGCCAGTGGATCTCCAGACAGAACTCGTTGCCTCCGCTTCTGCTTCCAGGTAATAGCGAGGCTTCCCAGGGGCGGGTCCGGGTTTGAGGGGGGTGTTGTCATTTCCTGTTGACAGGTGGCCCCAAAGTTCTCTGTTGAACCCTTGTGTTGAACCCCTTGTGTTGAACACTTGACCACCTCTTTTCTCTGTCCAGGGCTCTCAGGGACCAACATCCTCAGCATGCCATTAGAAAGAACAGAGCAGGACAAACTCCGAGACCAACGGCCATTGGTAAGGATATTTCCAGGAGCCTCCTCCACCAGCGAGTTAACATCTGGAAGCCTGACTCTTCAGGCGCTGCCTGGTTTCCAACCCCCCTGCTTCTCCATTGCTATAAAACTTTCCTGTTATGGATCGTTCCCGTCACTGGAATTCAAAATTCTCTTGACAGGTAGGTAAGACGTTGTCTCCCCTGAGCGTGTCCTGTGGGTTCTGCTTTACCTCCACAGAGCACCCGCTGGGGTCAGCCTTTCTGGAGTCAAAGCGTCCCCTGAGGTATAAATATTTACATGTTTCGGGAAAATGCTTTCAGATGAAGTAACTGCCAATTCCTTGTACCCATCCGGATTGGCTTCCAAGGAGCCAGGAAGCAGAGAGTTAAAAGGACATAACCTTGAGCCAGGTTTCTTGACACTTCTTTTAACCTGGAATCTGGCTTGCCAGAGGATGGAGACCCCCCTCAAGCTCCTCCTCCGGCAGTACAGTACACTCCGAGATGGCAGAATCCTTACTGTTTCAGTGCTCACAGAACCCTGTGAGAAATGCCATGACTGACATTAATACAAAAGCAGCTTAGATTCTTGTGAGGGTTGTTCATATAAGTGAGGGGGTGTTGGTGGGGGAGGGGGTGGGAGGCAATGCAGGCCGCTAAATAGCTCTTTAGACAATTTTTCCCTTTGTTCCTGGCTGCCGGCTAGAAGTATGTTTCAATTTACTAGTCAGCTAGTTAAGGGAGACACACACATGGTGGCTGACCAAAAAAAGAGGCCAGTATGAAAAGATATTAAAATTCAAAACACACTTCAGAGCCGGCCTTCTCAAATTCCATGGTCGCAGGAGAATTCATAAATCAGAAATGAGGTCAAGTGATGGTGTTGAGTTCAGCTTTGTTTGTCCCTTGATATTATGATGATGCCCAGATGAGAAATATCAAGGAGAAAAGGCCAAGCTGGAACATCTGTTCTCCTTACCCATCAGCCACAAAACATCAGTTTTTAGGAAGACACCAAAATAAGCATTGCAAGAGAGAAATGCATATAATCAGTGCCTGTCCACTTTTTAATTAAATCAGTCATTGACAAAGATACAGCCTCTGTGTGGAGTTCAAGTTTCAAAGAAAACATTACATCCAGAAATCTGTTCTCCAGAGTTTGTGCAACTCGTAGGGCAAAGTCTGAGGGAGCCAAGAGCAAATCTGAGCCCGCCACGGCCAAAGTTAGAGTGAGCCACAGACATTCACAAGCCTAAGGATGAGAAGGAAGTCAAATGCATTATAGTCAAGTCCTATGACTTTTTTTGCGTTGGTTTTTTGAAAAGCCCTAGGAATACATTTCCCCCATAGGAATGATGATGTTGAGAGAGTTGTGTTCTCAAGTCAGTCCATAGAATTCTATTTGATACAGTGTAACTCAAGTCACCTCTACTTCCAATCACCTTAAGATCCCTAAGCCTATGCCTTTGAGCCCCTAGGATGACACTGCTGATCTGGAGGAGGGAGGTAGTGGTTGTAACTCATGGCAACGTTGGGAGGAAAACTTCAGCAGTCAGATGGAAGGGGCCAGCACTGTAGACGTGCAAGTTGTGCACTGCACAAAGCACCTGGCTGGGGTCTAGATGGAGGCTAAAATCCAGCCTTCCTTCACCAGGCAAGCTGGGGATCTTGGGGGGAGGCTGCAGATGCCAGAGAAGGAGTTTTTTTCTAATATGTGCTAAAAACTGTGCCCCAGTGGAACTCTGGATGCTTCAACAGCAACAATGAAAGATGGTTTTTCTAGAAGGAGGTGTCAAGAGTCGTGAGTAGGGGTGCCCGGCTGGCTCAGTCATGGAGCACGCAACTCTTGATCTCCGGGTTATGATTTCAAGCCCCACATTGGGTATAGAGAGTAGTTTAAAAAAGAATGAAAATCTTAAAAAAAAGTGGGGAGTAATTTTGGTAGAAGAGGTTGTCAGTGGGGGAGAAGCAAGAGAGAAGCTGCTATCCACATACACATTTTGATTTCTCGGTCACTGAATTCTGGAGTGGGTATAAACATGTCCTAACCAGAACCTCTCTGGAAGCAAAACTGAATCCTCACCAACTGTCCTCATGTTCCTCTTTGAGAGTCCCTAATTGCCTGGCTACTTCCTGTTAGTTCACTCAAAAAAGGCTCATTACACCCTAAGGTTTATGCTAGGAGGTGAATGAAAACGAGGTACCTTTTGGAATTTTCTGTAGAGTGAGAGCCCCACACAGATGAGGAAGTGCCCATCTACAGCTCCTGCACTGGTGGAATCCAGAGGCTATTCTGGAAACAGAGAGGGGGGAAAGAAAGGATGGCCACCATGTACTATGTTGGGAGGTGTGAGGAAAAGTAGCTGTGGAAAATGTCTCTGGGGGTGCCTGGCTGGTTCAGTTGGTAGAGCATTGTGACTCTTGATCTCAGGGTCATGGATTCAAGCCCCATGTTAGGCATAGAGCTTACATTTGGCAAGAAAAGAAAAGGAAAAGGGGCATCTGGGTGGCTCAGTTGGTTGAGCTTCTGATTCTTAATTTCAGCTCAGGTCATGATCTCAGGGTTGTGGGCTCCACATTCGGCCCCAAGTCTGCTTGTCCCTCTCCCTCTGCTCCCCACCCCCCCGTGTGTGTGCTCTCTTTTAAATAAATAAATAAATAAATAAATAAAATCTTTTAATAAAATAAAAATAAATTAAAAAGAAAAAATTGTCTTTGACCCAAGTTGAATGGGGATGTGATCCTTACCAAGGCCTAGGGTCCTACAATGCAATACAAGGAAGAAAAACGAGCAAATGGTAAAAATGGCAAATTTTTTGTTTTATGTATTATAACACACACGTTTAAAAAAGAGCAAACAAGCAAACACCCACAGACACACACCCCAGGCTGGCCGGGAAAGGCATGGGGGTGGACCCAAAGACTCTCCCAGCATGCCCCTGGACTGAGAAGGCATGGGGGTGGAGCCAAAGACTCTCCCAGCATGCCCCTGGACGGAGAGAAGCCGGGGCGCCTTTCCCCGCCAGGTGGAGGAGGCTTCATTTCTCCCGGCAGCGGCCGCGGAAGGGGGTGCAGAAGGGGAGACAGGACGCCCTGCAGCGCAAGGGTCCTGAAGGCAGCTCCCGCGTTTGGGGCCACCTCTGGCCCACCAGCAGCTCCCTCAGTGAGACTTTGCGAGCCTGTCAGGGAAGGGTTTTTAGCAGTCACAGTCCCAGAAGTGTGTTATTTAGGGTACGTTAATTGTCGTAGGGAATCCCCAAATCCTACTCCGCGGACTGTAGTCATTCAGGGCCCGGCTCCTTCCACCCATGGCTCCCCTCCACGTCCCCCAGCTGCCCAAAGCTGTCTCCACCCAGCCAGTGGATGAGAAGAGAGAGCGGTGGCTGGGGTGGGAGGTGTGGGGGCCAGCCTGAGAGGGGCCCACTTCCACTCAGGTTTCATTGGCAGGAGCTCGGTCACGTGGCCACCCTTAACGCAAGGGAGGCTGGGAAATGTATGCCCCGGAAGAAGAAGAGACTATAGATCGATGTCTAGTGCCAGTCACTGTCTCTCCACAGAAAGGAAGTTCTAGGTCGGGGCCCGCGAGGGGGGTGGGGTGGGGTGGGGGTGGCATTCCTTCCATTTCTTTGTACTTTGTACTTGCTCAAGCCAGAGGCTTGCTGCTGCTGCTGTGACTGATTAACTTCAGGATCGAGAACCAGAGTGTGACTCTCACTCCTTGGGTTCAGGTCGAGTGTCACCCTGGGGAATCACCATGGTCACCCACGCCTCTGTCTCTTGGCCCCGCTCCTGCAACGGGCTTCTTCGAACCAGGCCTCCTTTGAAATCGATCTGCCGCAACAGTTGCAAACCGCAGCTGCTCCCCTCCTTCGCGGCCAGTAGCAAGAGAATCAATTATCCCTGCCCTCCGCGAATTGCGACATCTGCTGATCTGCCAAAGGCTAGGATTCAAGATGTCAGCCCTGGCCCATAAAGCTGTACTTAATCTGGACCTAATCACGGGAACAACTGCTTTTTGCCTTTGGTCCTCACCTGGCAACAACACAAACACCACCTGAGACTTTCAAGAGTCTGGAATCCCTACCCCTCAGGGGAGATCCAGGGATAGACACACACCATAACCTCCATTTTACAGATGGAATGTGTACAGAATGGTTAGAAAAGTCAATGTTCTGTTCGTCTGCAGCAAACCTGCCCACCATCTTTACATCTAAGCCTCACTATAGGCTTCTGACAGTAATAGCATGTGGTCTATTGGTCTCTGCCTAGGAAAATTCTTGAGTGTGTACATGTGGAAACTTCAGTTCATATTGTTTTAGAGCTCTCAAAGCAATGACTGAGCCATTGGGATTTAGGGCTTGATCTCCTTTCGGGACCCTTTCTGGACTTCTGGATCTGCTTAGTATACTTACTGAGTGCCCACTAGGTCCAGGGCCCTGCTGGACACTAGATTTTGAAGCCAATGGCCTTCCTTCCAGTGAATTCTGCTTTGGAATGTGTTTTTCAAATGTTCTGCAACAGTGCCGCGCAAATGGATTAAATGATAAAATAAAAAAAATGTAAAACAAGATAGTTCACATTCCTTGGGAGAAAAAAGCAGAAATGTCTAGGATGGTGAGCATTCTTAGAAAAGTTTCCCTCCTCTTTTATTCTGGATAGAGTTCCATCAGCAAGACTCTTTAGTCCTTTAGGGATTGGTGAACAGAACAAAAAGATGTTGTCCCTCTCTGCACCCTCCTGACCCACACCCCAGATTGAAGCAAGACATTTTTGTCTGCTCATGGACCTTTTGTTTCTTGCTCACATGATCACTGTAGTTCACCTTATTCTATTACTTACGAATGTTGAATTTAGTTTTGAGGTTGTTAAAAATTTATGTAAAAGTGTTGAGACTTAACTAATTGTTTTTCAAAGAACATTACTGCTTCTCTGTTAGAGATGGCAGCTTGTATAAATGTGATGGGGGAGAGGAGGTATTTACTGAATTAGAGGCTAACAAAAAATTATCAGCCCCCAATCCAATAAAATTAGGATAGTAGTCATCAGAGGGCAGGGGCCCTGCACATACTTGTTTATAAAAGATTCTCTTGAAATTATGAAAACATATTCCGTTGTCAACTAGCAAATATTGTCTATCACTTGAGAGGTGAAGTCAATAGTGACAATTGACAGTGTTTGGGACAATAACCCCAGCTTTCAGGATGCTGGATATTGAAAGCCAAGATCATCTAAGTCAATGATCAAAATCTGCAACAACATTGGATGTGCACAGACTGTGTACAGTGAAGGTACCATTCATTCATTCAGTACATATTTTTGAGACCCCAACCTGGGCCAGGCTGGGATAGACAGGCATTAGGGATGCAGCCATGAACTAAACAGACACAGCCCTTTCTCTGATGAAACTGACATTCTAGGGGCACCTGGCTGGCTCAATGGGTAGAGCATGGGACTCTTGATCTTGGGGTTGTGAGTTTGAGCCTCATATTGGGTGTAGAGCTTACTTAAAAACCTTTAAAAAAGAGAGAGAGAGGGGCGCTTGGGTGGCTCAGTCATTAAGCATCTGCCTTCGGCTCAGGTCATGATCCCAGGGTCCTGGGATCAAGCCCCATATCGGTCTCCCTGCTCCGCGGGAAGCCTGCTTCTCCCTCTCCCACTCCCCCTACTTGTGTTCCTGCTCTCACTGTCTCTGTCAAATAAATAAATAAAATCTTAAAAAAAAAAGAGAGAGAGAGAGAGAGAGAAACTGACATTCTAGATGAGGGAGACAAAGAAGATAGTAAGTGACATGAAAAAGATAAAACAGGGTAATATAGGATAATGGTGGAATGGGGGCTACTTTCATTTGGATGGCCAGGGAAGGCCTCATTGAGAAGGTGACATTTGAACTAAAATCTGAATCAAGGTTCAGTTTGAGAGAAACCCTGGGGAGAATATTCCAAGCAGAGTGAACAACAAAGGAGCTCAGGACTGAGCTTGGCATATTTAAGGGACAGAACAAGAGTCAGCAGAGCTGTTATATAGTGATTGAATAGGGCAACGGTAGGAGCCAAGATCAGCAAGGTAGGCAGGGGCTAGGTCATAAAGGGCCTTGTAAGGCATGGTAAAGAATGCAGATTTTATTTTATTTTTCTTAAAGATTTTACTTATTTATTAGAGAGAGAGAGAGAGCACGAGTTGGGGGAGGGGCAGTGGGAGAAGGAGAAGTAGACACCTCGCTGAGCAGGGAGCCTGACATGGGGCTCAATCCCAGGACCCCAAGGTCATGACCTGAGCTGAAGTCAGACCCTTTACCAACTGAGCCACCCAGGCGCCCCAAATGCAGATTTTATTTTAAGGGCAGTAGGGGTTTAAGCAAGTGTGTGATGTAATCTGATTGACATTTTACAAATATTCTCTGGCTGCTGCTGGGTGTTAAGAGAAGCAGGAAACATGGTAGTAAGAGGTCGCCCTAGGGGTAGAAGTGAGAGATGATGGTGGCTTGGACAGGAGTGGCAGCAGTGGATGCGGAGAAAAATGGACAGACATGGGTTGTATTTTAGAGTCAGAGCCAACTGAATCTGCTCATTGGATGTGGGGAGAAAGGGAGAGAAGAATGGAGGAAGCTTTCCCTGTTTTTAGTTTGAACAGTTGTTCAACTAAAGAGAGAGAGATGTCATTTATTTAGAAGGGAAAGATGGGGGCAAAGGTGGGGAGGGGCAGTATGGGAAAAGGATGAAAAAGAACGAGTTTGCTTTTGAGATACTTTTCATCCACTCATGTGGAGATACCAAGAAGGCAAGGGGCCCCTGGCTGGCTCAGTCATAGAGCATGTGATTCTTTTTTTTTTTTTTTTTAAAGATTCTATTTATTTATTTGAGAGAGAGAGCACATGAGAGGGAGGAGGGTCAGAGGGAGAAGCAGACTCCCTGCAGAGCAGGGAGCCCGATGCAGGACTCGATCCAGGGACTCCAGGGTCATGACCTGAGCCGAAGGCAGTCGCTCAACCAACTGAACCACCCAGGTGCCCCTAGAGCATGTGATTCTTGATCTCAGGGTGGTGAATTTGAGCCCCATGTTGGGCATAAAGATTACTTAAAAAAAAAAAAAAAAAAGGAGGCAGGTTGAACTATCACAGAATTGCCTAGAATGGTCCTCCTCCCCACGACGTCTAAGGAGATTCTATAAGCAAGATAAATGCTACCAAGATGCAGACCACTCCCCGAAGCAGGAATGGGGAGGTTCCATGGGGTATTTTTTGTTATATGGTGCTCTCTATGCTACGCAAGTGCATTATACAGGGGTCCTATCTGC